AGTTTGGCAATTTCTAATAAAGTTAACTATATACTCACAGTACTATTCAGCAATCCCACTCTAAGGTACTTACACAAGTGAAATGAAAACATGTTCACACAAAAACCATAAGTGAACGTATACAGCTGCTTTATTTGTAATAGCCAAAAGCAGAAAACAACCCAAACGTCCTTCAACTGATGAATGGATGAATAAACTGTGGCATACACATAAAACTGAATACTGCTCATCAACAGAAAGAAACTCAGACACACAACAACATGGATAAATCTCAAAAACATTATTCTAGGTGAAAAAAGCCACTCAAAAGGTTACATAATGTATGACTCCATTTATATGACATTCTGGGAGAGAAAACTATAGGAAGAAAAAGAAAAGATCAACGGCTGTGGGCAACAGGGAGTGGAAGGAGTTCACTACAAAGTCACGGTGAATTTTTGAGGGTGATTAAGCTGTTCTATGTCTTGATTGTGGTGGTGGTGGTTAATGACTATTTTCATTTGTCAAAACTCCCAGAACTCTATAATAAAAACAGGTGAATTTTACTGTATGTAAACTATACATTAATTACCATGCAAACACCAGTCAAAACAAAACTAGAATAGCTATATTATCATCAGACAAAGTAGACTTCAAACAAGAAATATTACCAAGGATAGAAGAGGGACATTACATAATGATAAAAGGGTCAATTCACCAAGAAGTCAAACAATCCTAAATGTATATGCATCCAACCACATCTTCAAAATAAACAAAGTAAAAACTGATAGAACTGAAAGTAGAAATAGACAAATCCATAATTATATTTGCATAATTTAACACTTCCCTCATTAAGGATATCAGTATCTTTTCAGAAAGGATATTAATATCTGTATCAATAAGTACATAGAACAACACTATCAATCAACTTGATTTAACTGACATTTATAGAATATTCCATCCAACAGGAGCAGAATATGCATTCATTTCAAGGCACATGGAACATTCACCAACAGAGACCACGTTCTGGGCCATAAAACAAACCATATAAAGTATGTTCTCTTACCACAATAAAATTAAACTAGAAACCAATAACAAAAAGATATCTGGAAAAATCTCCGCATGTATGGACATTAATCAATACCTTTCTTAATAGTCATGAGTCAAACAGGAATACAAAGGCAATTTTAAAATACTTACAATTGTATAAAAGTTAAAACATAACATTTGAAATATGTATGAACCAGTTTAGCACTGTTTAAAGGGAAATGTGAAGTACTCAATGCTTATAACAGAAAAAAGAAAGCTATCAAATCAATGATCTAAGTTTCTACCTTAAGAAATTGCAAAAAGAAGAGCAAATTAAACACAAGAAAATATTGGATAAGAGCAGAAATCAATGAAATTGAAACAGAAAAGCAATAGAGAAAAAGTAATAAAATCAAAAGCTGGTTCTTTGAAAAGATCAATAAAATGTATAAACCTCTAGCCAGACTGATCAAGAAAAAAAGAGAAAAGACATAAATTATCAAAATCAGGAACAACACAGGGAACATCACTACGCGTCCTTTAGACATTAAAAGGAAAATACAGGCATATTACGACCCTTATGCCAATAAATTTGATAACTGAGAGGAAATGGACAAATTTCTCTGAAAGACAAACATTACCAAAGCTCTCTCTAAAGAAATATATAACTGGAACAGTCCCACATCTATGAAAGAAATTGAGTTTGCATTTTATCTTCCAACAAAGAAAAACCCAGGCCCGAATTGCTTCACTGTTATATTCTAGTAAACATTTAAGAAAGAAATAACACCAGTTCTATAGAAAATCTTCCAGGAAATGGAAGTAGGAATAATTCCCAACTCGTTTTGAGGCCAGCATAACCCTGATACTGAAAACAGACAAAAGCATCGCAAAAAAAAGAAAAGAAAACTATAGACCAACATCCCTCATGAGCACAGACGCAAAAATCCGTAACAAAATATTAGCAAATTGAATCCAGCAATATATAAAAAGGTTAATACATTATGACAATGGCAGGTTAATCCAGAAATGCAAGGTTGGTACAACATCCCAAAATTCAATCAATGTAATTCACCATATCAACAGATAAAATTATGGGTTACGGAAGCCAGAAATTAAGGGCAGGTTAAGGGCAGGTTATACCTTTGATATTTTAGGTGCCTATGTCACCGCCTTGCACAACTTCAGAGGCATCATCTATATTGTGGTCACTGTATTCTACATGAATGATACACCTGGCACTGTGCAACACAGTGGTATTGCAAACGTGTGACTGGTTGCCCAAAAGGCAATGCAACCTTGAGCTGGACTAAAAGAAAAAAAAGATCCAGATGAAGAGATTTTATCCTCCAAACATTCCACTTGGCTCTGTTCACACCATACCTGGAATATTCTATTTAGTCCTGAACTCCATACTTCCAAGAGGTCCAACAAATTTCAGCAGAGGACCAAAGCAATAACAGTAAAAGAGTTCTAAACATTTCATATGAAAAGAGTTGAAGAAACTGGAAATGTTAAACTTTCAGAAGAAAAGACCTAGGGAGCATACACTACACTTTAATTATTTGTTTATATTCTATATGCCTTGAAGGCTGTCAATTTCCTGAGGGCAGAAGCCATGCCCTATTTATCTTTGTATTCCAAATACCTATCACAGGTTCTGGAACCTGGTAAGTACTCAGCTGTATGAGGGGTTCAAGAACAGGAAAAACTCAACTTCCATAATAGAAATCAGAAAGTGGTTGTTCTTCAGTGGGGAAGAAAGAAAGAATTGATTGTGGGGCACCACAGCACTGTTAAATTTTATAGCATGACATGTCAAATGTGTCCCTTTTCCCCACAGCTATAAACTTTCTATCTCATTAGCCTGAATTGGGCATGCGCCAATACTTTTATTTTTTTTTTGCGAGGAAGATCAGTCTTAAGCTAACATCTGATGCTAATCTTTCTCTTTTTTGCTGAGGAAGATTGGCCCTGGGCTAACATCCGTGCCCATCCTCCTCTACTTTATATGGGACGCCGCCACAGCATGGCTTGACAAGCGGTGCATCGGTGCGCGCCTGGGATCCGAACCTGCGAACCCTGGGCCGCGAAGCAGAGCGCACGCACTTAACCGCCGCGCCACCAGGCTGGCCCTGGGCATGTGCCAATTCTTGATCTGTGTATACTAATTACAATTCTCCTGGACTGGGAGTCAATCAAACCACACGGTTTGACTCTGGAGGAAGTGTGGAAAGAATATTGGAGAGACAATCACAATACCTACTACCCTCTCCTAACCAGCCAAATCACCCTGGTGATTAATGAAGTGACAGCACAGCAACACAATTCTCATGTCCAGAAATGGTGAAAAAAATACTAGCAATTATGTTAGATATTGGCAGAATTACACCTAAATTTCACAAATAATCTAAATTATAGACATACTGCTCTTTCAATAAAAGATGCAATCATTTATGTATTTTGGATACAAATACTTTATCAGATGTGTGACTTGCAAGTGTTTCGTCCCATTGTGTGGCTTGTCTTTTCATTCTCTTAACAGGGTCTTTGCAGAGCAGAAGTTTTTAATTTAAAAAAAAAATCCTATTTATCAATTTTTTCTTTCATGGATTGTGCTTTTGTTATATCTAAAAACTCATCACCAAACTCAAGGTTATATAGATTTTTTCCTATGTTTTCTTTCAAAAGTGGTATAATTTAGCATTTTATATTTAGGTCCATGATCTATTTTCTGTTAATTTTTGTGTAAGGTATAAAGTCTGTTTATAGGTTCATTTTATTTTATATGGATACCCAGTTATTCTAATGCCATTTGTTGAAATTACTGTTCTTTCTCCATTGAATTGCCTTTGTACCTTTGTCAAAAATCAGTTGACTATAAAAAAAAAAAGATGCAATCATGAAAAACTCTTTGAAAATACATTCCTTGGGCCGGCCCCGTGGCTTAGCGGTTAAGTGCGCGTGCTCCGCTGCTGGCAGCCTGGTTCAGATCCTGGGCGCGCAAGGACACACCACTTCTCCAGCCATGCTGAGGCCGCGTCCCACATACAGCAACTAGAAGGATGTGCAGCTATGACATACAACTATCTACTGGGGCTTTGGGGGGAAATAAAATAAAATTTAAAAAAAAAAGAAAATACATTCCTGAAGGCAATCATATTTTCCAACAACTTGTATTATAATTTCAAAGAGTAACAGAAATGCCCCAGGTAAATTAAACAATTTATTGACAGAATCAAGTTTAAAACTCTTCGCAGACCACAGGAAAATACATGCTGCAAAAGGGAGAATAGCCTGGTAACCATAACTCAGGTACGCAGACGAGAGCTCACAGAAGACCCTGGGCAAGCATGCCCCTTCCACTCACCTAGATAATGATAAATCAATGAATAAATAATAAAAGTTTCTTCTGCTAAATAAAAAGTTCAGGGATTACATAATGCCTGACGAGTAGCAAAGACACCCAGTCCTAGACATGGAGAATATCCAATATAGTTACCTACAACCCGATGCAAACCCTCCCAAGACTGTTTAGGTTAACAAATGAAGGAATCTGTTCCCCTAAATAAAACATACATCATATCTCTATCAGATTTTAAAATGCAGCTTTTTACAATATAGGTCCTCACCTAGTTAGGCTTCCCAGACTCAATTTTTATAAAACCTCACACTTATTCAACGTAAACGTGAGATTATTTGAGGCCTGCTATGTACTATGGGAACTTTACAGTGGTTTTTCCACAACTAGAAAATTAATATACATTTACATAATAAAACCCCATTTAAACACATTTACAGATAAAATCAATCCCCTAATATCTAACAGCTCCATAAAATAAAAGCTAGATATGGCAGTACATTTAGACTATTACTGTTTTTCCCCAACACTTACATTTTAAAAAGCTCTAATGCGTATAGAATAGAAGAAAGACTCAATAAGACAGAGAAATCTGTGCAAATATATGCATACAATGAAATTGCATACAGACCTTTTTTCAGCCGGGGTTTTTGAGATTCAGCAGATGCAGAAAATTGAGTTCTCTGAAATGAAAGAAGTCTATGTTAAAGCACCACCATAAATCTTGATAACCTAAAGAAGCTTTCAAATAACCATAATCGGTAGCTCTCTGATCATGCAATTAATCCATTAACTACATACAGACACAAAAAATTATTTTTAATATGGTTTAAAAAAACAAATGTCAAATCGTAATTTTGCTATCCAAAGTATTAATAATGTATGATGCATATACTTATGTTTATTTATAATGTGTAATTATAATGCATGATACAATGTGCACAAATAAATGCACTAAGTTCTTAGATACCACATATTAGCATTATACTTAATGCTATACTTATCAGGCCAAACCAAAAAAGTGGTAACTTGATAAACATAAGCTTATGAGGTCATCTACACAGAAATTATCTAGCACTCAATTCTAGGAGGGAGTTTTTTTAAAGGGACATTATTTAATATAATAGATACTATCTTATACTATAACTGCAGAAAATCTTCAAATGGATTTTTCTTATACATATCTACCTCCTATGTTATATATGATATAGTATGATATAAGCAAAAATAACAGCTGAAAATTTCCAGAAGTAATGAGACACTAATCTTTAAATTCTGGATGCTCAACCAATCCTGACCAGGTTAAACGAAAATGAATCTACACTTAGCTACATCAAAGGGACCTGTACCAGAGAAAATAAGAAAGCAACCAAAGAAAAACATATCCCCAGATTACCTACAAAGAAAGGACCATTAGATTGAAAGCTGACTTCACAACAATTAAAAATGGAATATCACATTAAGAAGTTATAAGAACAATTACTCCCAAGTGTCGGGTGCTAAGTAAACTGAATGTTAATCCAGACACAAGGTCAGCAAACTATGGCCTGCAGGTCCAATCCAGCCTGTTTTTATATGGCCCACAAGATTTTTTTACATTTTTTAACAGTTAAAAAAAATGTAATATTTCATAACACATGAAAATTATACAAAATGCAAATTTCAGTGTCTATAAACAGAATTTTATCCTAACACAGCAGTCACACACATATTTACATGCTGTCTATGGTTGCCTCTGCACTACAACTGCATAGCTAACTTGCGACAGAGACTGTATGGCCCACAAAGCCCAAAATATTTATTATTGGCCCTTTACAAAAACAGTTTACCAACGCCTGATCTAAACTATTACACCAATCAAAACTAACTTTCAAGAACAATGGCAAATTAAAAGGATTTTCAGACAAATAAAATTTGAGAGTTTTTAGACTCACTAAATAAACTTTTAAAGGATATATACTAGGAAAAAGGAAAATAACCCCAGAATGAGGGAGCGGAACGAGCAAAGGAACTGGTAAAATATGGAAGTATTCTAAGCATCTACTGACTGAATAAAACAAATAAAAAAGTATAGTTTGTGGTGCTGAACTGAGAAATACAAAAACTACAAAACTAAACAGCAACAGCATGAATTGGCAGAAGGCAACTGGTAATAAAGCATTCAACGACCCCTGTATTATTCAGATTTAAGTTTGAAATTTAAGTTAAATATGTATTATTAAAAACTTGGGGTACTCACTAAAGGAAGACTAAAGAATAGAGCATATAACTTCCAAGGAATGAAATGAGAGGAGCAGAAGGGAGAGAAAAGGAACCAAACTCAGCCAAAAAAAAAAAAGCAAGAAAAGAAGGAGAAAAAAATGAAATTCTCCAGTTAAAAAGACAGATTTGGGCCGGCTCCGTGGCTTGGCGGTTGAGTGCGCGCGCTCTGATGCTGGCGGCCCGGGTTCGGATCCCGGGCGCGCCCCGAGGCACCACATCTCCGTCCAACCCGAGGCCGAGTCCCGCGTACAGCAACTAGAAGGATGTGAACCTA